TCGCAACAGGCCCTGCTAAAAAGTTTGTCGCTATCTTTTTTATAAGCCCCCTTTAAGTACTGACAGGCTGCAATAAGGTCTCCCCGAAGCCTTCTCTTCTCTAGGCTGAACAACCCCAACTCTCTCAGCCTTTCTTCATAGGAGAGGTGTTCCATCCCCCTGATCATTTTCAGGGCCCTCACATGGGATGTAAGGTTCATTTTCTTTTTCTCAGGAGTGTTTTGTGAATGAGTGTGCATTTGTGCATGCAGGAAAAAGGTGGGGAAGCATCTCCTGAAACAGAATGAGGAAATTGTTAGACACCAGACAGCACTTTAGATAAGATGAGATTCCAGACTTGGAAAGTTTTGTTCAGTGGCAGAAAACAAGTCCACTAGTTGTTAGTTCCTTCTGATGCCCTCCCCTTGCTTGCAAGCCCTTATCTCACAACGATAAGCTATTTTACTTATTACATATCCATGCTGTAGAACTTGGACTGCAGCAAGACCCGAGTGATAACAGGCATGAACAAGATCAAATTCTCACAACATTGACTAGTTGCAATCCTTAACTTAAGTAGGCTCATGAGCAGCGTGTTGGTTAAAGTCCTTCCACTGTTACTTTGTGCTTAAAAATAACAATTTATCTAAAACAAAGCGTTTTGCACAGTTAACTGATTCATGAACTATTACATTATCATAGTTCATTTAAGACTTACCTCTAAAAGGCCTGTATAATGTATTAGAAATGATTTTTAATTTTTTTTTTTTATTAGGTGGTTGGAATTCTTCATTTTCCCATTTGAAAAGCACACTCAGGATTAGATTCATTGATGTCTGCTAGCTTTTCATATTTTTTTCTCTTTGGGTATGTTTTACCCAGCAAGTCTTTTGTACTAAGATACTCTTCACATGGGTGAGTTAAAAAAAAAAAAATCTTCTTGATCTAATATATGTTCTCAGCTAATAGTCTGATGAACTTGCATCCATCTGGGGTGTTTATCTTAAGCCAGGAAACTAACACTCAGCACAATGTGCAATTTAGATGGAATGCATGACAAATCAGTGTAGGGCTCACTGCTGACAATGTTTTCCAACAATGTTAAAGTAGCGGATGTTTTCACCTAAAGTGTAGAATACAGTGTCCTCAAATCCAGTGACAGTGATACATTTTTAACTGAGGATGTGCCAGATTATAAATTCTCTCCTTCTTTACACCAGTTTGCATAAAACAGGATGATCTGGATAACCTGTGATTTTGTAATCACAGTACGGTTCTTTACTTCAGCTAAGTTAACAATTCAAAAAACCCTCCACTTTATTAGAACATAAAATTACTTTTTATCAGGGGTATAGGTTATTCAAAAGGGACAAGTATCATCTCTCACTGATTTTTTACATTTATCTGCAAATAAAACACGTAAAAACATGTAGATGCCACAAATTCGAGTAGCAAAATGATGAATATATCTGGGGAGCACCCATCTGCTCTCTGTATAGTTCCAGTATATGTTCAGCTACTGCTGTGGCAAATAAAGCACTGAGAAATACTACAAACCAAAAAGCAGATTTCCATCTTTCACACACACACGAATTGCATAGCATCTTCCATATCTGTAAAGGCAACACTAGATGTTTCAAGACTACTATGAAGTACAAGCCTAAGTTCTTTTCTCAAAGGTTAAAGTTTCCTGCAACAACACCACAAAGGACATTTTTGAACAGCTTTGATATAAATGGTTCAGAACAGACAGACATATAAGCCTCCAGATCAAATTGATAAACAAGTGCTTGAGCAACTTCAGTTCTCATTCCTTAGTCTATAAAATATTTGAAGAATTCTGAGAATATCAACTGCAAGATTGTTCATAGCTTCATCAATTAATCAAAACACACTAATACATAGCAATGATTAGATTTTATTTTATAAACTCCTAAATATACACAAACAGGTTTTAGCCTCAGGTTTCCAACAAGTGTCAGAAAACACCTTTGTAAGAGTACTTACTTTGGCTGGAGGAGAACTGTTGTGTTGTGCCTCTTTTGATTGTCCCTTGTCTTCAGGTAAGGTTGGCATGGTGGACAGTGTGAAGCACGTGGAACTGCAATGTGGACTAACAGGACCATGCACTGCTGAGAATATCTGTTTCAAGTTAGCCCGAGGGCATAAGCACTGAGAGGCCTTGTGATCCGCAGGCTGTGTTAGATACCAAAAAACCAAATCAAATCCATTTAAAACTCTATGCTTTAACACTGAGATCACTTTACAATAACAAACAGTATTAAGGTTTAAAATTAAAAGTGCTATCTTGTGTTTTATTAACTAAAGCTTTCAAGGTCAAGTATAACTTAGTAAATGCATTCAAAATGGACAACCTTCCGTTCTTGTTGCTATTTCCATCTCTCCCCTCCCTTTTACAGATTTTTTTTTTTTGTTACTATGACTGTTTTGGCTGTGACCAAACTACCCTCTCTAAAAATCCTCTAAGAATGAAACAGCATCCTGGATATCCATAACACACCTTTTAGTAACTAACAAAGTCCTAATGCTACAGAGCGTGATCTCAGATCTCAAAGAAAGGAGTAAAACTGGAAACCCAGATGGTGGCACTCTTCCTTTGAGCAAGAGCAAGGCCTAGGTGAATTGTGCAAAGACTTGGTGTACATCTGCACAAGACAACACTGTGCAAGATACTTCCGAAGCAAAATAGCAGTAATGCCCAAATGGAAGAAAAAAAAAAATCACTGCCTATTAGCTGAGAAAATTCTTGTTATTAGCATCAACGGGAGCTACTGCCTTCACAAGGATATTATCAGCATTAAAGCCTGTACAGTAGTCTGAAGGTTAGAAATGTTAAGTACTAATCCTTATAGCTACAGTGTATGTATTACAAGACTTACTATGACACCTACCGGATAGTTAAGGAACAGTCCTCATAAATAAATCATTCAACTCCTTGGTGGTGCCTACAGATGACAGACAATGCAGTTATCAGAGACAATCTGGTACACGGTTTCTGACTGGACTCCTAAGAGCTAACTATATTCCCTTTACAGTTAATTCACAGCTGGGTATAGAATGGAGCTATACACTCAAACAGTAATATAACAACTTCAATAGTGTGCCAAGGAGATAAACACACCCTACAAGCATAGGTTCAACCTCCAATACATGTTATCTTCTCCCAAACCTGAATTACTAATCTCATCTCAATTCTTTTACTCTTCTGGAAATCAAGATAGGTGGAACAAAAAGGTTGAGATGGGGAGATGACTTGAAGTGCAAGGCACTTAGCAGCATTGTAAGATTGACATTCTACAGTTTTCCCTTCCATTTCAGGGAAGGGCAAAGAAATGTATTCAGGAACACATTGGTTTATTGAGGCTGACAATTAAAATTATCAAAATACTTGTGTTGATTTAAAAAAAAAAAAAGAGAGAGAGAGAGAAAAAGAGAGACAAAACCATTCACAGGAAATACTGAAGCAGCCTCACTAGTGACAAGTTCCTCACCTCAGCTTTCACAGAAAAAATTCTGTGCTGTAAAACCTCCAGAATGTGTGAAAATTTTGGACTACAGAAGCAGCTAAGACCCATGCTTTTATTAGATTTACTACACATTATATTGGAAACTTAATTTTCTCTTTTACTAGAGGAGGAATACAAGGCCACCTCACATGAAATTTAATGCAGAATTAGTAGATTGTAAAAATGATCTCTACACAAGTATTAGTGTGTTCAGAAAAAAATAATTATTTCATTGAAGTTCTTTGATACAGACAGTGGAAAAGATGCAGCATATATGACATCATTATGAAGACCAAGATAAAGACTTTTTTTGAACAGTGAGCACAATTTTTTTCAAAGCAGTATATGCTGTAGGAACAGCATGTTTCAAGCTTTTGTAGACATTTTGAACCTATTACGGGTGAATTTCTAGCTCTACTGCAATAAGTGGAAACTCATGTTTGTATCATGATTTTACCCACCTCTGACTTCAAATAAGAGTAGAGAAAGCTTTCTATGAATAAAAAGAAGATTTAAAAATGTTTATTAAGGCAAAATATCTTTAAAGTCCCTAATATGATGGAAAACATTAATGATTACATATATTTTAATAAGTCCACAGAGATTAGGCAGATAGCAGTAGCATTAAACATCTGTCGGTTTCAACAATTATTTTTGTATCAACCAACAGTCACCAACTATTAACAACACACTGAAGACGAGATAGAAGCGATGTAACTAAAAAAAGTGATGTGGACTTCCTTTTCATCTCTGTAACAAAATCCTGGCATCCTACACAATTTCTGAGTTTGCAAGAACTCAAATTCAAACAAAAACAAAAAAAGAGAAGATATAAATTTGGCTGTTTATCTAATCCCTCTTAGTGTTTGCCTTATGAATTTATAATGGTTCTGATAGGCTCAACTCAACAGAATGCTGGGCCTGAAAAATCAGGAATGTTTCAAGACATGGCCAAAGTGTATTTGCAGTCCTACATGGAGTTGTATAAGCTATTGCATCAAAGTGGTTTATTCTCCATCTTAGCTGAGTTCCTAGTACATACTAAACTTAAAATAGTAATGCAAGTCATATTGAAACAAGAAAGAGCTATTAAGCACATCAAGTTTCAGTTCATTTTTCAGATTTAAAAAGCAAAAAAACTTTAAAAGAAAAAAAAAATCAGTAAGCTTGTCTAAGAATAGAAAGGGACAAATCCCGAGCTGTGTTGTCTTAGAGATGCAGCACAGAAAGTACAGCCAAGGGAGAACGGAGGGTAGAAAGATGAATTTACACCACCTTAACAACCCCCAGATTTGGAGTGGACTGAGTTCAGTCCGTCTCTGACACAATTAGAACCTTACTCTGACTTCCTTACGGAGCTATCTTGCAAATAGGAAAAAGCTACAAGTCTTTGTGGTGCCGACCAGTAGGAAAATTTCTTCTGACTTTCCATTTTTCCTAGTATCTCTCCAGAAAACCCCAGTGCTGAGGATGCTATTGGAGCAGTGAAAGCTTGCATGTAATTATACATATTCTGAGGCTTCTTAAAATAAATGCAGTCTTTGCACACCTTGACTGCACTGCTGCAGTCCTCTAAGGTGCCAAAGTAAGGGCCACTACTTATTGGTGTTTCAACAAAATATATAAGAACATAGTTCAATTCATAAGCTATATGATTTAGAACTCCTGAATGATTATTTTTTCAACCTAAAAAGCTTATTTTTTAACCTGTGCAGTGTTCTTAAAATCAGTAGTCCAGATCCTTTAAAGACTTTATGATGCGTAACCAGCACAAACATCACACCTTGTAAATGCGAATGGATATAACCAATGGAGCCACCTTCTTGCTCCATGCTGTGCGAGGAGTTCTGCCATTTTCTGTATCAATTACTGCCTTCTGATACTAGTAGGAAAGGTGAAGGTTTAGAAATGATGGAACCTTAAGATACTAGTGAATAAATGTTCTTCTTCAATCACTGCTAAAGTTACTTTTTACCTATTTGATCAGGCAATGAAAATAGCCCCAGTAAATATCAGTGAGAATCAAAACATATAGAAAAAGGGGGCTTCATGAGAACACTCTAGCCGGAATTAGAGGAGTTTATCTGCATCTCACAAATGTAGGAAGAAAAGAAAGAAATGTCCTTGGAAAATGTATTTCCCTGGAAGGTACATTTTTTTCTTCTTCAGTAGAGCATTAGGGAGGAGTACAGCCTTGGAACCTACTGAAATTCGCACCTCTATCTACAAAAACAGCTTACAGCCTTACTGAATCCTGAGCCAAAGTGCAGAGAGCATGACTATCCTGGTTCTAGGCTTGGCTCATCTGCCAGCTGAACAGCCTTTGGAATCATGCTGCCATTGGCTTTGCCAGCTTTATCTCCTTTCCACAAGCACAAACATGTTTCAGTCAAAGAAGGAAATGATATGTTAACAATACATGCAATACAGTGAGATACCAACTGAAACAACTGTAATTATTGTCCCTGAAGATACTGAAAGGATAGATAAAAAAATATATCTGCACTTTAGAAACAGTGAAGGTGCATAAGCACATGTTAGCACCCTAGTCACTAAGACAAGAAATGACAGAATCTTGAAATTTTGTTAGGCATTGATCAAACTCTGTCTGGCCTACTTCTATCCTATCAAAGGATGTCATGAGATTATTATAGTGTTTTATTAGAGTAAATGATCCCCCAAAAATTCCAGTTTTTTAGAAATTGCAAGAGCTTCAAAATTACCTTTTAAAATTAAATACTTGTAGAGATTAACTCACATGTCACAAGAAGAGTGGATGTGGACGAAGATCTACAGTCATAGTCTGCACGAGCCTTTTGCACCTACAAAATGAGTTTGGAAAAAAACACAAACAACAAATTACCTATCCTATTTACCAGATTCTGCTTATTCCCACACTAAGATGAGACAATGTAAAGAAAAAAACTAAGAAAAAGAAAGAAGAGAGGATGGAGTGCTTTTTAATGTTTTGGTCTGTTATTGTAAACTTACTGCTTAAAATAGTTAGGAAAAAAATGATCCCCTGAGCTCAAATTTGTAGTCAGATATAGATCAGTGAATGCAGAGAACTTTCTTTTACCACTGTGTAGGCTTAGAGTACAATCTCCAGGAAATGGTGATCTGGGAGCTCTATTCCATAAAAGGGAAAAGTATTTAGAGGCCCTTGGCTTTCAGTGTGTTCTCTCTGCAACTCATTTTACCATAGTAGAGAAAGCTAAGTATAATCAGTTATCTTACCCTCTCTGAGTCACGGCTGAGTACCGTGTTAGCGAAGGCTTAGATAAAGGTGCTTTACTCCATCTCCACTGATAGCTTGGCAGTTGACCTCAAATGCTCTGTCACATCACAATAAGGATATATAAAAAAAGCAGAAATAAACAGTTAAGAAAGCATTTTATTATTATTTCTTGACCTCATACTGCCTGCAGTCAAGTCAAGCAACTCTCATTTGTCAACAATGGGAGTTGCATACTAGTGAACACAGCTGAACTGCACAATTCTGAGCTGCTTTTTGTAACTCCTTTGTTGTCCTGCAAAGTGGTTGTAAAACATTACCATATTAGAAAGGTATCTTTTCGCACTCTTTTTGTATAGCTGTAAAAGCATATGGAATTCACGTAGCATTTTGATTTAGGTTTTGCAGCTTTGAAGTACTTAAAAAACCACTAAACTTATTTCATTCAAACCAAGTGTGAGCAAAACAGGGTGTTTTTCTTATGTTTGTACCACAGAATAAGTTTTCAAACACAAAGCATGTTTATAGTATTTAAGATACACAAAGTTGGTATACATTAGTTATCTCAAGAAGTTTTAAAAAAACAACACAACAAAACAAACAAAACCTATAAAACCAGATCCAGAATATCTTAATAGAAAGCTTTAATATTTTGCACTAGGACTTCAAAATTTTTGTTTATAGAAACATTCACTGGAAAAGAAAAAAAACAAAACCACAATTAAAGCTGACTCATTTACATTCTTACCCTATGTGACAAGAGATACTACATGGAAATTGGAAGACACTTTCTTTATTGTCCGCAACACAGAAAAAAAATTGACTGTTTCCTACTGCATCTAATTCTTATGGCAAGAGAGTAGTTTCTCATATTAAATACTTAAGTTTGCAAGATATTAAGATACTGCTTCAGTCAGTTTACCAAAACACACAGTCATAGCCCCAAGACTAATATAAGGCATCTCTGTGATAACAGTAATGATCTGAGTTCTACCCACATTAATATCCATACAACTGTACAAGGTAAAATCTAGAAGACAAAGTGGTGTTTCTGTTTATAAGATTCAGAACCATACCACTGGGGTGTGCAAAGTGTATGCAACTACTATGTGAATTCAAAGCATCCATTTTCACTCCGAGAAGTATTGAGATTAATTCCTGAGCGACTTAATACTTCTTGACAATCAGAACACTTCCAGGTTGCAACCTCAGAGACAAGGGATAAGCGTGAATAATTCTGTCACAAAAATATTTTAAAGGAAGAAACTAACAAAAGCGTAAGAACACAGCAAATGTCCCCCAGCTTCTAAAAAACTTCTGTCTCTCAAACTTAGTGGGTACAGTCTTCCTCAGGACTACAAGCTACCCATGTAGGACTTGCTTTACAGAGCAGCACAACAGGAAAGAATCTCCTTTTCTGCTTCCTGTTTTCCTCATAGCTCAGGAACACATAAAACTTGATGGTTTTCAATTATCTGCTTGAATGAGAAAAAGGAAAAGTTAGGTCAGGCAGAAAGTAAAATGTTCTTTTGATGCATGTCCAGCCTGATCTGATTGGGAGCACTCAGGAGAACATCTCTAGTAATGGCTAGTTATGACACTCTGCTGAGACTGAAAAACAAAAAGTTTGGGGGTGAGAGGTGATGCTGGTCCATAACCAACAAGAACAACTCCTACAACAAGGCATTTGGTTTGGTTATGTATCTAAAATTTTATATCAGAGTTTAAAGAAATCTGGTAACTACCTCCCACAGAGTTTAATGGATAATGTTTTCTGGGAGTTACGTACTTAACTCCAGCAGAATCCATTCTGGTCCCAGCTTTAGGCTTTTCCCTCATACATTAAGAGAAAAATCAATTAGACCCAATTTCACTCACAGATAATTATTTTAACATAGTTAAATGGAAATTTAAGACTTACTGGAAGATTGCAACTGTATCTGAAAACAGCAATTTTTTGCTCTGAAATACTATCAGCCAGCTTCATTTGTTTTAGCAGTAGTTAAAATTTTTGTTTTGTTAGCAGCCAGCATTTAGGTTTACTTCTCTTGTAGCAAAGCAATCGGAGGAGTGGCTTACAATCTTTTTTTTTTGCACGAATTCTAGGCTGAATTTCATGCTGCAGACAATCAGCAAACAACTGAAGAATGTACATATTTTAGGAATACTGAGGAGCAGTATTTCACTAACTTTTTAGACTACTAGACCCAGATTAAAAAAAAATTTGTTTTTTTTTTTTTAAGGTAAGTGTATTTTAGGCAGCCTGAAAGTTTCCCGATTCCACTTTTTTTAGGGGCAGTTAGGAGTTAATATTGCATGAATCAAACTTTTATTAATTACTCTGTTTTGGATGCAAAGTCTTTGTTTCCAGGTTTTTTTTTTGTTTAGTACTAAAATGAATTTAAGGAAATGAGGTTATAAGTAGCATTACCTCCCCATGAAAACAAATGTTTTTAAGAATTGTATACAAGTTCACAAAGGTATGTTCTGATTCATTTGTAGTTCTTACTCATTCTGGGGTTTTCTTTGAACTAATCGGCTTAAGACAAAACTCCAATAACATAATTTTATCTGGTTAAGTATGTGCCCAAGATACTGGACCCAGCTCTTGTATGGAAAGGACAGCAAAAGTGAGTTATGGGAAAGGACAGATCTGCGAGGTTCTTAGAGCAGAGGCTTCTCCCCAGTCATGACATTGCAAGAACCTGGCACTCCCCACATTCCATGTTGGAGAAACAGGACAGCTGTGGCAGGAGAACCAAAGGAAAGTGGCACTTCCTCAGGGATTCCAGACCTGAAAGCTTTTACCCATCTGTTCCCCTTCATTCAATGGCTTGCGTCCAGCACAAACTACAGTTACATTAATTTAACTGGCAGCTGTTTCCAGGGTCACTTTTTAAGACATTCTCTCCAGAGTAGACAACTAATATGGCCAAGGACTCTGTGGCAAAAGATAAAACAATGCGTGTCTCTCTTTCCTTTTTTTTTTTTTTTTTTGCTATTTACACGGTCTGTTTTGTTCTTTTATTGCTCTCCAAGTACTCGTGCATATTTCTTAGCCAAAAGCAAGGAAGCTTCTTCAGAAAGTAGAAGAAATTGAAGTGCATATGAAGTCACATGTTCAACCTTTCAAAACATAATAGTGAAAGGTACCTATATATTTCACTGAGCCTACTAAAGGTTTATGCTCAAATCCTTGTTTAGAGAAAGCTCTCCAACAATGAACCAGTTATAGATTTAAAATTTTATTTATGGTAGATCCTTTACCTCACAGGAAATTGTCTTCCAAAGCCACATAACAAACCTTTGCTACACATGAAGAACAAAGTGCACAAGCATGCCAGATGCCAGACTAGGTCATGAAATAGTCATAACTGCTTAACAGATCTTAACCATCCAGAAGTTTTTAGATATGCCTCCTGCACTTTAAATTTCAACCAATCACTCCTAAACAAACTTGCTTTTATCATTTCAACAATTCTTTCCCTTGTTTTGTGTGGAAAAAAAAAACAAAACCAAAAACGCCCCCCCCCAAAAAAAACACAAACAAAAAAACCCTCCACAACGTGAAAAAAAAATCCCACCACTCTACAACTCATAGATAGCTGTTTCCATAAGTTCTGTTAACTTGCAAACAAAAATTTTACCTCATCCTACTTCTTACTAACCTCATTTTTTTCCCATCAGTGGGCTTTCAGCTAGAATGACAAGAACAAGACAACAAGCAGCAGAGCTCAGCCAGATGGCCTCTAGGAAACCAGCTGGGCTGAACTTTGGGGTACTTTAAAATATATATATATATTTGGTGAAAAAGATAGTACATGTGATATTCAGGAAAAATTAGGCCCTGATTTAGTCAATATTATGCACAAGTTAAAGAATTCAGCCTGCAGTAGCAAATCTGATGATCAGAAGACTGTCAGATCTCAAGGCAGAGTTGATATGTTTCTTAACTTGCAGATTATTTTTGATAGACTTTAAGGAAATGCAGTTTAAAGGAAGAATGTGAACGTGGATTGGGTGGATATTTGGCATGGAGAATAAGAATTTCTAAACATAAGGAACAGCATATAAGAAAGTGTGAAGATAAGAGTGGGAAAACAGTACATTAAGTATCATTCAGGAAGGTAGTTCAAAAGAAATCCAGAGCTAGGAAGTATCTGGAGAAAAACCTATTGTCTTGCAACATAAAGGCAGTGACCTTAAAATAGGAGAAAATCCCAAAAAGTTGAAAATTATATGCGAGTTAAAAATGTTGCTCTCTTCTTCCTCCTAAACAACTTACTATTTGAAAGAAATGTGCAAATTTGTTTAGAAGGCAGCACCAATCTTTGTTCTGTGGTCATGAAAGACCCCTCTGATGCATGACCTGTGCATTGATAAATTGCTCAACAGAAATTGCTAATCATAGTAGTATTAATAATACCAGGAGATAATATTACCACGAAACATGCTTTTGCTTAAATGAGCATTATATACTCAGTAACACAGAATCATTTGGGTTTCTTTTTCTTTTTCTACTCCTTCTCACAGATTTGGAGGAACCTAGATACATTTCTACTGTCTGGACTGCATGTATTATACATCACATTCTAGTTACACGTTTATTTTTGTCTATGATGTGGGCAGAGTTGGGAACTTGAGACGATATTTTCTCAAACTGCCATGACTATGTTCTTAGTTAATGTAAAAAGAGAACAAATTTGCTTGTGGGGAGGGGAGACAGATAAGATCAGGGGAAAAAAAAATCGTGTCCTTTGGTGCCGATTCATTCTTTTTAAAGAAAAACCTTAAGGTTGTTACATGAAGCAATATTGTCAAATACAATTTTTACATCTGAACATTCTAAAAACTATTCTGTTTTCCAGGACAGCTGGATATCAACTTTATATAATTTGGAAAAAACGACTACCAAAGGCCTAACTTGGAAACATAAATAAGTTGAAGGCAATTAGGGCAGAACACTATTGCTTAGTGACCTAGGAGTCTTGTTGCTAGTCAAGCAAAAAATTTTCCAAATGGAGAAATTAAACAAAATTCTTTCTTTCCCAATTACAAAGGGTAATCCCAGAGGGCACACTTTGTTGAACAAACCAACAA